TATCTATATACTCTTATACTACTCTTTTGCCTGCGGCGCCCCCAAGCCCACCAAACAACTCCACCAGGCACGCGGTTAATAAATCCGGAGCCTTAGGGGTACCTGTTTACCAACCCCCAAGCGCCCAACGCCTACAATATCTTCAAATTAACTCATTTAAAAACAGAATGAGTTTAATTTTAAAACACGAACAACACAAATTCGAAGGAGATGTTTTCTTCTCAACTCTATCATCTCTCATCCCAAAAGTAGCCAACTTTGTCTCAAACAACAAATCCCTTATTTCCCCAGAAGCTCAAGCTCTTGGATCTGTAGCAAAAGCAGGAGTAAATATAAGCAAAGCAGTGAAAAGATCTAACGAGTTGAAAGAATTACAACATATAAGAGAAATGCGAAATAAAAGATTAGAAAACAAAAAATTATTGGATAAAAATGTCAATGATAATTGCTCAAACTCCAAAAACTTATTTCGGTTCTGACATTCACAAATCATTAGGTTCTCTTCCTGGATTTCTATGGGCAAATTACCCCAGAGAAAAACATCTTCCCGGCCATAGTTACACTGGTCCAGGTACAAGGTTAGATCTACGATTAGACGAAAACGATAAACCCAAAACCAGGTAAAGTTGACGCCGTTGCACTTAAACACGACATACTATACAGAAATAAAGACATAACATTCAGACACGAAGCAGACAAACAAATGATAATCGAACTTGAAAATATTCCAAATCCAACTTTCAAAGAGAGAATTCAAAGAGCATTAATCATTAAACTCTTGAAAGCAAAGATGAAAATGGAATAGCAGATGAAATTCATGAAGAATTTAGAAAAACTAAAAACTTTTCAAAAGTCAAAGTGTTTGATAAAGATGAAATATGGTCAGCAGATTTAATTAATATGCCAGTCGAAAGAGGATATAAATATTGTTTAACCATTATCAGTCAAACACGCATTTGAAACAATAATGAAACAATCTGAAAGACGACCTCAAAAGTTATGGGTAGATAAAGGAAGTGAATTTTATAATAAAAATATGAAATCACTTGGGTTTAAATTTACAGTACTCATAACGAAGGTAAAGCTGTAGTAATAGAAAGATTTAACAGGACAGAAAAGTTCACGGAACTGAAATCCCAAAAATGGCTTAAAATATTACCAGAGGTTGTAGATGAATACAATAACAAAATCCATTCATCTATAGGTGTTACACCAACACAAGCCACAAATAATCCAAATATTATAAAGTCAATTAACGCACAACATAACTACGAAAATGAAATAAATAATTTAAATATCAAACCCAAATTTAAAGTCGGAGATCGAGTTCGTATTTTCAAATATAAAAGCAAATTCGAAAAAGGCTACGTTAGATTTTGGATCAACGAAATATTTATCGTAGATAAAATAAATAGCACATCACCTCCAACATATGAATTAATCGACCAAGACAAAGAACAAATCATAGGTAGGTTTTATCAAAACGAACTTCAAAAAACTGACTTTTAAAAATGAATATCTTTTTTCGATAAATACAGAACCGATACAACTACAAACTTTCAACTTATATATCTCCGTTTTATTATTGTATGAGAGATGAAATAAATAATCTCAAGGATAAGAAAGGTAAATTTTATGCGATAACAAATATACATACTTCAGTCAAGCCGGTGTTCATCACTCTGCTTTATACAAAGACTCTTTAAATAACTTTTATTTCTTTGATTCTTTTGGATTAGAACCAACTGAAGAGATAATGAAATTAATGCAATTGACTAATCAACCAATTAAATGTTCTACAATTCAAATTCAAATACCGGGTCAAAAATTTGTGGTCAACTTTCACTTTGGGTTTTATATCAATTAAGTTTAGGAAAACAATTTGAAGAAATTATAATAAATTTAACTTAATAAAAATGGCGAATAAATTTGGATTAGATTCTTTACATTTAGATACTAAAAAATCTAACACTACAGCATGGATAAATATAGCAAAACTTTATTTTGTGGAACAAATTGGAGACACACTTCAAGGTGAATATGAATAATAACAAGAAGTAACAAGTTTAAAAAGTTTTATTGAAGAACAATTACTTAATGTAGTAGATAAAACTCAATTACAACCTTTAAGTTCATTAATATCTAATTTAGATGATAAGATTACAAAACAAAAAATAGATCTTAAACAACTAATAGCCAATATTAATCCAGGTATAAGTGAAGATAAATTAACAACATTAGAAAGTAAACTTATTGATAATAGTGAAATACAAAAACAAATAGTTGGTATTAAACAACAATTACTTAATGTAGTAGATAAAACTCAATTAGAAAATTTAAAATCATTCATATCTAAATTAGATGATAAGATAACAAAGCAAAAAATAGATCTTAAACAACTAATAGATAATATTAAACCAGGTATAAGTGAAGACACGTGGCAAAAGGAATCAACTGCTCTAGAAACTAAATTTAAAACTGAATTACAAAAAGAACTAACAAATATTAAACAACAGATAGAAAATATATTGATTATAGTGAGCAGATAACTACTATTAATAATGAAGTTTTAAAACAGGAAAAAATATATCCACATTAGAAAACAAACTCAAGGAAAATAAGAAATAATATTATTTCAATCTTCCATTTAAAAATATTGGTGGAAAACATGTTTCTATTACTAATAATATTGATAAATCAAAAGATCATGAATATAAAAAATATGGATTTACAGCAACCGTTAAAGGATATTATGTTCAAGATTTTATGTACCTCCAAGGTATTTTTAAGATTTTATGTACCTCCAAGGTATTTTTAATGAAGAAAATTCATCATATTTTATTTTCAGAGGAAAACTTCAAATTGAAATTACTTTTCCTTTGCAGGTAAAAGTTGATTCAATATTCTTTACACAAAAATCAGAAACATCTAATCAATTTAATGCTCATAAAGTTCTTCAGTTTATCAATGGTAGAGAAAATGTAGAAGCTAAAGAATTTGAAATTAACGATGAAAACACCAAGGTTTTTCCCCACTTATATGAAATCAAAACAAATGGAAAATATATAGATAGGTTTAGAATGTTAATTTTACCAGATAATGAAGATGAAGTATTTGGATTGGGTAAATTTCATATGATGTTGGAGACGGAAACTCCACCATCAGTAAGTATTATTAGAAATCCAGAACCACAAAAAAGGGGAAACAAGGAGTTATGAGTTTTTACGAACATCAACAGACTTTGAATTTGTAAAACTATATTTTGTTAATACTGATTTATTTACCTCAATCGATATTCATAAAAGTCAACAAGATAACAAATTTATAATATTTTCATCAATAATTTAAAGTGAAAAAGTTGGTGGTATATATACTTATACATGTATGATAAAAATCAATATCAAAAAACCAAAACTTTCAGTTCATTAGAATAAGATTAATGATTCGAAAGCAGAAATATCTATAGTAACTGTAGAAGTTACTATTTTTAAAACTATAGAAATTTATCATGGCTCAGCGGTTGAGATGGATATTTTAGATAAAAATTATCCATCTTTTTCTTTATCAGAAATTCACTTAATTTAATGTCTTAAAAATGGAACTCGAAAGTAGACAATAATATATGATAGAGAAACAAAACGAGTTAAAAGTAAAACTAGAACAATATAATAAATGTAAGAAAAGATGGATTAGAGTTGATTCTGTTTTCAAAACACCGAGTGTACTTCTAACAGTAGGAACAACAGTTGTAACGGCTGTAACTGGTGGATTAATGGTTCCAGTACTTATCCCAACTTTATTAGCAACAATTACTGCTATTCAAACTTCATCTTGTGGGTTGATTGCTATAGGTTATACATAAAAACAGAAATCTTATTATAAAAGAAAAAACAGAAATAATCTTAATAAATTATTTATATTTTTCGAAAGATCAAGAGAAGATAAGAACATAACCATTGAAGAATTAGAAGAATTCAATGAAATTCTATAAAAATATCAGCAATAAAAGTAAAAAAAAATACTTAAAAAATAGATGATTAAAAAAGCATATATAAATAATATGAATGAATCAAATGAAATTAATGATGATGAAACATTCATAGAAAACGTGTTATTTTCAAATATTATCAAGAATATTTCTGATAAATTTTTAACATTTGAAGGACAAATTGAAATTGAGAGATATTTCAAGATGGAAAGCACAAACAATTTATGAAACTTCTTGGTTTTAATGCCAAAACTTTTCATACTATCTTTAGAAATATGGAAGAAAAATCTGACCCTTCTGATTGGTACTTTACATGAAGTATCTTTTTACTTAAAGACAATTTTAAAGAAATTAAAAGATCAAAAGTTGGAAGAGGAACTGAACTACTCAAAAAAATAAATGAATATATAGGTGAAAATTGTTACATACCAACAGATGGTAACTGTTTTATCAAATGTGTAAACTATGTTTTAGACAAAGATTTTACAAATGAATTTCAAAATTTCATCAATGGTTTCTCAAAAGTAAATAGAAAAGGAGTGATGACATCTGCTAGAATTAATGAATTCAATAAGAAATGTGATATTTCATTTCAAATTTATACTCATAATAATAGAAATTTGCGCCCCACAATTGTAAAAGAGGAATTAGATTGGGATTTATATTTACACAACTCACATTTCTGTCTTATAAGAAAAAAAAAAGTTTGGTTATTAAAGAAATAGAAGATAATTATGAACAAGTATGGAAAACGTGTAGAGACGATAACGCAGTAACACAGGTTTCACCTCTGAAACTAAACGTGTTTTCAAGTATAAGTGATGCAGGGTTATTTGCTTGGGATTGTAAAACATATTCAGAAAGTGAAACGCGTAAAGCAATTCCTTATGCGTGTACGTTAATTAATTTAGAAAAGCTAAGAAAAATGTTAGACAGAACAAATAATCTCTTTCCAGATTTAATGAATGTTCCAGAAGAATTTTATGATAAACTAATGAAAATAGTAGAAATATTTGTAGGTACAGATTGTATAGATCAAATGTTGAAATATTTACGTCAATATGATAGAAAGAGATTAATATTAATTTCTCATAACGGTAGCAATTTTGATAACTGGATCGTGCTTAAAAATGTAAAAAAACTAACACAATGCCCTTTAAAAACACCCAGAGGAATTATATCTTTACCTTTATCTAATCCATACACAGATGAAGATTTACAGAAAAAATAGAAGACAGAAAGAAATAACATGCAATAATAATTATTTACAACATATTAATTTCACATGTTCCTATCAACATGAAACATCTAGTTTAGCAGCATGGGGTAATTCATCTAATCTACCAATGAATTTGAGAAAGATCACTGATATCAATGTTGCAAAATACACCAAAGATAACTGGGAATCTTTAAGACACGAATGGGAACCATATGCATAAGAGATACGTTATGTCTTTGAAGTTGTTTGATAAAATATAACCAAGTCACGAAAGAAGTTGTAAACCAAAATATGTCCAATAATCTAACGGCTCCATCTTTATCTTTTAAAGGTTGGTATTATTTGTATCATTACGATAAAGAAATGGTTGAAGAAGAATGGTATGAAACTACTAGAATGGTTCCGAAACATACTGAAAAAGAAAATATAGAAAAAGTTTATCCACACAGTAATCTTTTTATAAGACAATATATCAGACATCTATTAAAGGAGGAAGAGTTTCGGCAAATAGAAAAATATTTGAAACGAACAAAATGGATGAAATTTGTAATGTATTAAAGGAATTTATTTCACAAAGTGAAACACCAAGTGATACTGAAAGTATTTCACAAAGTGAAACACGAAGTGATACAGAAAGTATTTCACAAAGTGAAACACGAAGTGATAATACAAGAAGAGATAACATAATTGATTTATTCAAAGGATACAGCTCTAGCACAAAAGACAAAACAGAAGTTAATTCAAAACTTAAAAAAATAAACTGCAATAAACTAATGGTATTTGATGCTAATGGTTTGTACGCTTCAGCAATGTCGGATTTAGACAGTGAATATCCAAAAGCAGAAAGTGCTAGACCGTTTCTACCAGAAGAAGAAGAAAAAAAATTTGTAAAACTCTTCAATGAACAGAAATTTATACCTAGAACAGCTATTTTAAAAGTGTGGTTTAACTATCCGAAAAACATGTTCTTCCAACCGATACCAGCTAAAGATAAAATCACTTTCACGAATAAAGAAGGAAAAAAGGAAACTGGCAGTAAAATCGGTTTTAGAAATGGTTTCTGTTCAGATGTTTTAACATCGGTCGATATTCAAGAAATAGTTAAAGCCGGTGGACGAATTATTAGAATATTAGATGGTATAGTATATGAAGAAAATTTTAAAACTCCACCATATAGAGATTATATTTTAATTTTAAGAGATCTTAGAAATAAATATAAACGAGAAGGTAATATTGTGGGTAGTAATTGCATGAAATTATTAGGCAATTCTTTGTATGGTAAATCTATTCAGAAGGATAGAAACACGAGAAATCATTTGTGGAATGAAGTAACATTTCAGGCTAACTTCGACTCACATGTTAAAAACTATGAAAAAATAAATGATACTCAATATTTCGTTGAGACAAAAATTAAAGAAAAAGAGATTACTGCTTAAGGTCACTCAACTAAATCTACAGGTCTAACACCTAGTCATTTGGGATCATTCGTTTTATCTCACAGTAAAAAAATAATGAATAATTTCATTCATGTAATAAATGGATTTTATAAACCTGAAATATACTATACCGACACTGATAGTTTATACATTTCATCTAGAAATTGGGATAAATTAAATCGAGCTGGGTTGATATCTGAAAATGAATATTGTAAAGGCAAGAATGATTACGGTGATGATCAATTTGGTTTATTTTAGCGCCAAAAGTCAAATATAATATCTGATGGTGTTTTAAAAGAAAAACGTTTAAGGGTTATTCTAATAATAAGACAAGTGTAGAAGATTATATTTAGTTGGCTAGTGGACATGGTGTGTCGAATGAATTTAATAAAAGATGCGAAAGAAGTTTCACGAATGGAGTAGTTATTCCAAAGGATGATGATAAACAAAAGAAAGTTTTTAGAAGTTATTTGAATCTTGTAAAGAGAAAACAGTGGAGGATTCATGTTTCCTTATAGAAATAAAGATGAGTATAATTTTGATAATTACCTATATATTCAAGAAGAGAATGAAGAGTGATTAATAAGTTCTTTTGTTTTAAATGAAGTTGAATAACAATTTCTTCGTTACCAAAATCAATAAACCTATTTTTACCATCTTTGATTTCCAGATTTATATTTTTAATCATGGACGAATTAAGTGGTAAATATGTTTGTTTGAAATGGTTTCTCTATAATTCTATATCCAATCGGTACAGTGAATGTTGGAATATTAGCTTTATGCGGCGCTAAAGTGGATTGTGTGTATATTTGCTTATCAAATCCTAATAAAGTATTCAAAGAATTTTCTACGTTGAAATCAACTTGACTCTTATTTCTCAATATCAATTATATTTTGTTCAGATTCAAATTACCTTCGAATTCAATATTGTTTTTACCATTTGTACTTCCTTCATATTCAGATAGATAATCGTTTATGGCAACGTATTCATAGCTTCCTGGTAGTAAACGTATGGTTTTGAATGTAGCTCCGTTATCTGTTGATATTTTCATCTGGTTATTATTTTCGTTGATATTTCTAATGGAATTGTAAACAGAGAAATATTTTATATATATTCTTTATTGCGATCGAGTTCATATTCATAATCTAGAGACAATTTAATGTCTGATTTATTTATAATAATTGTTCTTTATTTGGCATTTTTTTCAATGACTATTTTTATTGGATAATTTTATCAATTACGTTTTTATAATCATTTTTATCTATAATACCTTTCTCTGGGAATCTTTTTAATATGCATTATATTGTCTGTCTGAACGATGACCTTCTTTCATTGCTGCTAATATTATTTCTAATCTATTAAGCAATTCTTCATTATTATCGGATAAAAAAGTTATACCTTGTCCACTGTTTTCTCTAGCTATCTCCTCTTCCTATTCGTCTATTTCTAGTATGATTGAATTGTCTTCAGCATAATCATCTACTTCGTCAACTTCGTATTCATCATCTTGATTAATAGCTTTTATATATAGATCAACGTCTTTTAATCTTCTTGTTTCGGGCCCCGTCTTTCTTATCATATGTAGAAATTCTGAGTATTCTACTAAATCCTTGTAATCTACAATATCAACATCCCCCCATTCATTAAATCTATTAATCCTTCTATTAATGTAAATATAAAGTCTTTTGTATCGATTTTGAATTGTGGTGAATATGCACTAAATGTTATTCTAAATCCATTAAACAATAACCCTTCATTATCAACAATTGGTGTTATGCTCTTTGGTAAATCTAAGTTTGGATTTGAAAAATAACGTTTTATATCATCTAATGTCCTAATTATAAAACCACCATATTCAATCGGTTTTGGGGGAGTAGTATATGAGCTCATAGATTGGTCGCATTTTTCCACATTCCATTTCATTTCATGGGAAAAATGCGACCAATCTATGAGCTCCAAAAAAACAAGACCTAAATTCCCTACATTTCATAAATTCTTACAGCAAAACATCCTACATTTCATAAATTCTTACACTTAAAAAAGACCTAAATTCCTTACATTTCATAAAACATCCTAAATTCCCTACATTTCATACACCAAAAAACACCCTCAATCAATTTCCCACATTCCATCAAAAAAAAACATATTAAAAATACCCTTATATAAAATAACATCCTTGTTTCGCTTATCATCCGGTTTTTAATAGTCTCATTTTAAGTAATGTTATTTTTAGTCTAGAAAAGGGAGATAACTCTTTTTTGGATAAAAAAACAGACTAAATTAATTCATTTAAAAATATAGTTTTGAAGATTACCTATATATTCAAGAAGAGAATGAAGAGTGATTAATTAGTTCTTTTGTTTTAAATGAAGTTGAATAACAATTTCTTCGTTACGAAAATCAATAAACCTAATTTTACCATCTTTGATTTCCAGATTTATATTTTTAATCATGAACGAATTAAGTGGTAAATATGTTGTTTGAAATGGTTTCTCTTCCTACATTTCATAAATTCTTAAACATAAAAAAGACCTAAATTCCCTACATTTCATACACCAAAAAACACCTTCAATCAATTTCCCACATTCCATCAAAAAAAGCATATTAAAAATACCCTTATATAAAATAACATCCTTGTTTCGCTTAACATCCGGTTTTTAATAGTCTCATTTTAAGTAATGTTATTTTTAGTCTAGAAAAGGGAGATAACTCTTTTTTGGATAAAAAAAAAACAGACTAAATTAATTCATTTAAAAATATAGTTTTGATGATTACCTATATATTCAAGAAGAGAATGAAGAGTGATTAATTAGTTCTTTTGTT